TATAATACACACAATAGGTACCTATAATAAAGTAAATTTGATATTACCTACTATTTAAACATTATAACATTAATTACGTACTTACAGGTACTTAATGGGTTAAAAAATACAAAGGTCTTTAATTAATACTACAGTAATATGATTTTCATGAAGTTAGTTTTTTTATTAACATTACCTACTATTTTCAGATAGACTTGAAGATTCCAAAACTGCAAAAAAATGCAATACCATGCTTGTTTCCTGGACCAAAATATTTGTCTAATCCACAGAAAAAAAGGAAATCTCCCACAAAAAGAGTTTCTTTGGGTAGTAATTGTAGGAATTCTAAAAGCATAAAACTAACCGAAGTAATTTTGAACTATTACATTAAATATTTTTACTTATACAATATATTTTATATAGGTACTCACGGATGAAAATTATTTTAATACCTATTCATATTATTATGTTTACCTATAACCAATATGAACTTTATGTTTGGTTATAATAATAATACCTAGTATATTTGTTTATATAGGTTGATTCTAAACTGTCTGAAACTGTTATAAATAAGGATGTATTGAATCAAGAAACTTCTGTATTTCTTAAATCTTCTATCATTCCTACTATAGAATACTTTGAAAACATGTGTAGGGAAATTGAGTTGACTAAACTTCCAGATAATTGGAAATATGAAATCAACAGAGGAAAAAATACAAGTATTACATTTTATACGGTACAATGTAATGAAAATGAGGTTGGAGTTTTTATTGAAAAACAGATATCTCTTGAAACGGATATGATTGTTAAATGTAAATTATATGATGTATTTGTTGACATTCAAGATATACGTCCAAATTTAAAAGTGTTGACATTTGATGAACTGATTTTAGTTTTAAATGCTGTTAGCACTAAACAAGTTTGTAAAGGTGGACCTTTAGTTAGAGAATTTGATGGAATAACAGTTGAATGTGCAGATATAGTTCAAAATCATTGGCGACATAAAAAATGCACATTTTTAATTGATATTTCATCTATTAAAACTAAATGTATGTTTTGCGATAGATTAAGAATTGCATTTCGGATGAAAAAATCAAGATTATCTGCTGGTAAATCTACTAGATTATTATTATCACCTTCAAAAAAACATCAGTTGGATACACTTCGTAATAAAAAACACAATGTACACAAACAAGTATTAAGAGCAAGACATAGAGTCAAACTTTTACAAAATCATTTAAATGAATTCAAGGAAAAACTAAATAAATTATCAGATACTTCAGTTGAAAATATTATAATTGAAAATAAATTGAATGATTCACAGTCAACATTAATAAGAGAAATAGTTTCAGCCAGCAAATATAAAAACCCCAAAAACCGTCGCTATTCTGAAAATTGGATGTTGCTATGCTTATTGTTCAACATACGATCACCTGGAGCCTATCGTTTTCTCAGAGAACAGGAGCTGATGCCTTTACCTTGTACCTCTACAATCCGTAAACATTTATCAATTGTAAAAACTGACTGCGGATTTGATCTTCGATTCTTTGATCTACTCAAGAAAAGAATGTTTCGTAAACCTCAAAATCAACGGCATGGAGTTCTTTTATTTGATGAAATTCAATTAAGAAAAGGTCTGTATGTAAACACTCGTGATTTATCCTACTCGGGTCTTGAGGATATGGGTGGTGAAGCTGACGTTTCAGAAAAAAAAGCTGACCATGGATTGGTATTATTTTAT